CTAGGCTCAGTCAAAGAGACCGGAACCGAATCTAGGTTATCATTTGTACTCGCATTAACAAAACAAGTATTGACTATAGTAATACTCAGTGTTAGGACATTTCGCCTGAGACAAACATATTTTGAAAACACTGTAACGCCTTCGTTCTATTCCTCATATAGTATACATGTACGCTTTCCTATATCTGTTCAGCGTCACATTGCCCCTCAGCACCCTAAATAAATTACGATAGTTAGGCTTGTATAGACAATATATCTTTTCCTACATGTATATATCCGTTCCTTGTACTAAATCGTTTGACAAAATAGACATTTCCGAGGAGCACTAGAGTTTCCATTGAAGACAATGTATCTGGACGGCCTCTTTACGGAAACTAAGTAGTTCTTATGTTGAATGATTTTAGTGACGTCGACGCCTGCGTAAAACTGTATAAGATTTTAAATGTGTGCCACTTATGAACACTTAATGCAAACTGATAAACTCGGGTCTATGGGAAATGAAAGATACCACCGGATGAGTTCCAGCGAACCGGTATGACGGAAAAATAAAAAAGTTGGCCAACGATATCCTTGTCCATATCTTGGATGACAATGAATGAACGTCAATCAAGTACTTTTCCCATTCAGTGCAATGTATAAATACTTGTAAATTTCACTTAGTCGTCAGAAAATCTTATCGAATTAATCATGTTGCATTCAGCGATGATGAGTACATGTGTTGCGGTGTTTGTGTTGTTGCTTGACTCTGGCTTTGCTACGTACAAGGTAATGGCCCAACGCGACGCTCTCACTGAGTTTCCGCCGCATGAAATGGTGTTCGAAGCCTCCGAACCGGATTTGGGAAGCGGTACTGGTGGAAATGGCGACACAGGCACGCTAACAAATCCTCCGTCAACTCTAAAAGACATAGAAAGCGTGTTGAGAGATTGCGACAAACAGCTCCCTACGGTGTTCAGTAGCCAGACAAGATCACAGCACCATCGCAACTGGCTTGCCATCCGTCTGTTTACATGCTGTATTCACAGTGACGGCACTACACATTTATGCAAAGATTTTCACGACTTTCGCACTTTTGATGCGTTTGTCAAAGGTAGGTTACAGCCAGTAAACGTACACTTACACTTACATTGCTGCATTTCAAAGTTGACGATGGAACTTCGCCACTCTATGGTTATCAATACAAGAGAAATATATGTTTCCGTAAACTCG